CCTRCAGTATACGGCAATATAAATTCTATTATATATACAATATGTAATTATATCAGTATATATTATAACTGCTGCAGGTATTGTATTTCAATGGTGCTGCGGATATCATACGATTCAAGTGTTGAAACGTATTGCAATTTAAATTTTCCGTCGGGTGCTATAAATTATAAATAATTTATATAATACTGTTAAATGAATTGTCCAATTTTATTTGATGTAAACAATAATTATATACATACGCACATCAATATTTTTAAAACACAAAATCGGCATTCTAAATTGAGTGACAGTAGGTATCAGCAGTATATAATTTAGCTCTACTTTAAAAAAGAATCACCCGCACAGTGGCGATTTTAAGGAGGGGCCTAGCTCAACGCTCAACGGTTCAACGGTTATAGGTTAATAATAACTGACTACTAACTTATTGTATAGTAGTTGAGACATACAATTTAAGAGTAACAAAATCTAAAATTTAACAAAAATTATAAAAACCATATTGGTTGAATATATGTAAGCAACAAGCAATCACCAATTAAGTTTAACCATCTTTAAGATTGTAAGAGTATTTAAAAACTACAATACATTTTTATTCATTTAGTTTTAGATAAATATTATTAATGACCATGTTTTATAGTATACTGTTGGTATTAATTATAAATAGTACGAAAAAGTGTACAACGTACACTATAAATGTATATTATATAGTTATATAAAYATATTTATTTTAAATWATATAATAATATAATATAAGTGTTTTTTTGATATTGTTGAAATAATGCATGTTTGCAAACCCCCAACCCCTCCCAAAAAAAATCTTGGATCCGCCCCTATCTTTGTTTATAAATATTATACATTGTGCGATATTATTGTTTTATATCATTAATAAGTACCTGCAGTAGAATAGAATATAGATATAGCCATCATATAGGAWTATTCAAAATGAATCATCCGATGCGTCGCACTTGACTTTCTAGATCATCTGATCTCACGTTTTGTGACTACTCCTTTTGTGGACATGTTTAAGTTACTATATACTATGTATGTACCATTTTTAAATCATCAACCAAAGAGGAGCTAAAAGTATTAACTGCAGTCAACTATATACAATAACGGTTATGCATGGTATGAATTTGAGTTCCGACTAGATGTTGTTCGAGTAATCTATGGAAAATTCACGTAAAAATATTTTATTGGTTTCATCATAAAATAAATTTGAAATATTATTTTTTTATTTAAGAGGACGCTACGCCCCCATGCGTTGTTTCCGCAGTCTTACAAGAGCACAAACACATAACACGTAGCTGAAAACTCTGTTATATTTAATACTGAATTGGCCTATTATCAAATTTATGTGTAGCAATATTATCAATAGTAAATATCATATATATATATAATATATGTTTGTTTTATATTTCAATCTTAATGCGAGTTATGAGCATCATATGTTAATAATTTGCAACTTGAATTTTATGCTCATAACACGGTTAACAAATAAAATATAAAAAAAATCTATAGAATATTTATAATATATGAAGACACACCTGATATTAAACACATATCAAAGTTATTTGGATTCATTCTGTATAAGTACGCATCATTTGCTATGTTATGTTATACGTATGTGAGACGGAGACAACGCACTCCGATGTATATATATAGTGTCATCTAAATGTATCATATTACTATTATAGTACATATTATTATATTTATTATTCTAAACCTAAAAAAAGCGGGTAAGTCGTGGATGTCRCTCTGCTGTMCWGTAGRTTAMTGTAATGGATGGGATTAAATTTGAATGCAATGATAGGTATCATTGTATACGAAAAACGATTCTGAACGGAGATGATTTGTCAGTCTAGGATATATTATATTTAAATAT